GTTCTAAGTCCGGTCCAGGACGTTTTGAAGGATCTTCTGGAATAGGGTCGCTTCCTACTTGTAGTTATTGTAAGAAAAAAGGTCATCTGATCAGTGAATGCTTTAAACTTAAGAGAAAAAATGACTTTGATAAAACTCAACCACATGCTTGTGCGGCAGTTAGAGGAGATAGAGAAGCCTTAGTTTCGATTTGTTCTGACACTCCTGATGTCCAGGGTTCACAGTCCAGTTCTATTGATTCTATGGAGGATTATAAGCCCTTTATGTCTCAGGGATTTGTTTCACTCGGTGACTCTAGCGAAATAAAACCTGTCCAGATTTTGAGAGATACTGGTGCTGCACAGACGTTATTGTTAGAGGGCGTGCTTCCTTTGTCTGAGCAGACTTCTACTGGTGGGTCAGTTTTATTACAGGGTGTGGAGCTAGGCGTCATTGATGTTCCCCTGCATAGAATTAGTTTGAAGTCAGATTTAGTTACTGGACCTGTTATCGTAGGTGTTCGACCTACTCTTCCTGTTCCAGGCATTTCTTTGTTGCTAGGCAACGATTTAGCTGGTGGAAAAGTTGTACCAGATCCTATAGTTTGTGAGAAAATCACTCCAGATGTCATGTGCGATGATGAAGATGATGACATTTATCCAGCCTGTGCTGTTACTAGAGCGATGGCCAGAAGACGAGAAATGGAGGCAGACCATACTCAAGCCTTTGACGAGACGAATTCCTCTGTTGATATTGATTTGAATGACACTTTCTTATCTGACCTTGATGGCACTCAAACAAGCATGGAACCACACAATATCAAGAAGCAAGAGAAGAAAGAACTGTTACCAAAATTTGGTGGTGAGGATGATGAGTTGCATCCAATAGTTAGCCAAGGCAAGGACATCCTCAGCTGAGAACGTTTACTCTCTGAACAACATAAAGACCCAGATATCATTCAACTTAGTAAGAGGGCACTTCCACCAGAAGAGGCTACTAAAGTTGGAGAATGCTTCTATATGAAAGATGGCATCCTTATGCGAAAATGGCGACCACCTGACGCTTCCCCAGATGAAGTGTGGCGTGTTGTTCACCAGATAGTGGTCCCAGCTGCTTATCGTCGAGATGTCATGAGTTTAGCTCACGATACACCTATGGCTGGTCATTTAGGTATCAATAAGACTTATAATAGGATTTTGAGTCATTTTTATTGGCCTAAGCTAAGGAAGGATGTTTCTGAGTTTTGTAAGTCGTGTCATGTCTGTCAGATGGTAGGTAAACCGAATCAGAAGATACCATCCGCCCCTCTCCAACCAATTCCAGCTTTTGAAGAACCGTTTAGTCGAGTGTTGGTGGATTGTGTAGGACCTTTGCCTAGGACCAGATCTGGAAACCAGTATTTACTTACCATTATGTGTACATCCACTCGGTTTCCTGAAGCCATACCTCTTAGGAATATAAAGGCAAAGAGCATAGTTAAGGCCCTAACCAAGTTTTTCAGTTTTGTAGGAGCACCCAAGGCAATTCAGTCGGATCAAGGCTCAAATTTTATGTCGGGGTTGTTCCAGCAAGTCATGCATGAGTTGGGTATTAGGCAGTATCGATCAACTGCTTATCATCCTGAGTCCCAGGGAGCGCTAGAACGTTTTCATCAAACCCTAAAAACAATGCTGAAGACCTATTGTTACCAGTATGAGAAAGACTGGGATGAAGGGGTTCATCTTGTACTATTTGCTGCACGAGAAGCAGTCCAGGAGTCTCTTGGGTTCAGTCCTTTTGAATTGGTGTTCGGTCATACAGTTAGAGGTCCTTTGAAATTGTTGAAGGAAAAGTGGCTGACTGAGACTAGTGATCTTAATCTTTTAGATTATGTGTCTGATTTCAAAGAAAAACTTTACAATGCTTGTAAATTAGCACAAGAAAATTTGAAGAGTTCTCAGATGAAAATGAAAATGTGGTATGACAAAGATGCCAGAAATAGGGTGTTTAAGCCAGGTGATAAGGTTCTTGTATTTTTACCTATTCCTGGTCATCCTTTACAGGCCAAATTTTATGGCCCTTATGAAATTGAAAGCAAGATCAGTGATGTAAACTATGTGGTTAAGACACCAGGTCGACGTAAAGAGAAACGGGTTTGTCACATTAACATGTTAAAAGAGTATTTTGAAAGGTGTGACCGAAATTCTGTAAAACCAGTTTCCACTTTAGCCAACGCTAAGACTGTTCAAAATTGTATTGAGAGTGATACGAGTGTAGAGATGAATGAGAAAGATTGTAATCAGAGTGTTCTTTTGAAAAACTCAGAAATTTTGGCTGATTTTGATGCCAAACTTGGACATTTGAACATTAACCAAAAAGAACAAGTTAAAAACTTGATGAATGAGTATCATCAAATCTTCTCGGATGTTCCAAAGAAAACTAATGCAGCTTGTCATGATGTTATAGTTGGCGACGCTCTGCCTATCAAACAACATCCGTACCGTCTGAATCCAATAAAATTGCAGTACCTAAGAAGGGAAGTGCAGTACATGTTGGACAATGACATTGTTGAACCTAGTAAAAGTGATTGGAGCTCACCGTGTATTCTTGTACCAAAACAGGATGGTTCGTACCGATTATGTACAGACTTTAGAAAGGTGAATTCTGTTACCAAAACTGATTCATATCCAATACCTAGAATTGATGACTGTATTGACAGCATTGGAAACGCCAAATTTGTCAGTAAATTTGACCTGTTGAAAGGCTACTGGCAAGTGCCGTTAACAGAAAGAGCAAAAGAAATATCTGCTTTTGCTACACCAGATGGACTTTATCAGTATAAAGTAATGCCTTTTGGCATGAAAAACGCACCGGCTACATTCCAAAGGATGATTCACTCCCTTCTTCAAGACCTTGAGGGATGCGAGGCCTACATTGATGATGTCGTCATATACAGCGACACATGGGACGAACATCTCCGAATCATGCGTGCTTTATTTGACATTTTAGCTAAAGCAAACTTAACTGTGAACCTTGAGAAGAGCGAATTTTGTCATGCCTATGTAGAGTATTTAGGTCATAAAGTAGGTCAAGGTTATGTTACACCCATTATGGCTAAAGTGGAAGCTATTGCAAAGTTCCCGATTCCTACAAACAAGAAAGAGTTAATGAGGTTTTTGGGCATGGCTGGGTTTTACAGAAAATTTTGTCCAAATTTTTCCTCAGTAGTTAGTCCACTTACAAATCTTTTGCAGAAGAGGGTTAAGTTTGAATGGACAAAGGACTGTGAAAAATCCTTTCATAAAATCAAATCTGTCCTTATGAGCAACCCAGTTCTGTCAACTCCAGATTTTTCTAAGCAATTTAAGCTTACTGTTGATGCTAGTGATGTTGGAATCGGGGCAGCTTTGTTTCAAGAACATAGTGATAATGTAGATAGAGTTGTTTCTTATTTTTCAAAGAAACTTACAAAATGTCAACAAAAGTATTCCACCATTGAAAAGGAATGCCTTGCTTTGTTGTTAGCCTTACAGCATTTTGATGTTTATCTGAATGTTACATTGCATCCAATTCTTGTGTATACTGATCACAACCCCCTGACATTTTTGCATAAATTGTCAAACAAAAATCAAAGACTGACTAGATGGAGTTTGTTGTTACAAGAATACAACATAACAATTAAGCATATCAAAGGCAAAGACAATGTTATTGCAGATGCCTTGTCCAGAGTATCGTGAACATATATGATTTTGTATTAATGTACATATATTTCATTTTAACAATATAAGTTTTCATTGACATTTAAACTTTTTAAGGGGGGAGGTGTTGTGAGGTGTGTTGTATTTGTATTATTTCATCATGTATATTATTAGTAACATTAAGTTTCTTGAACATTCCAGAGTGGTCAACATGTTCGGTCATTTTTCTAGAACATTCTTGAACTTTGTGCATGTCCAGAACTTTCCAGTAATATCATGCATTTACAATTTCTAGAATATTCTAGATTTATATTACTGTATAAATACCCTGTCAATTCGATGCAGAGATAGAATTGTCGTATAAGCATCATTGAGGTATTACTGGGATATAATTTCACTGGGACATTGTGTGCAGCAACGGACACTCTGATGTATGTATTTTTAGATTTTTGCTAAGTTTGTACTTAATGATTTGTATATTACTGTAAATAAATTATTGTTAAGTTTAAACTGTGTGATTGATCTTTGCTGGCATTTAGGGTTATTCTGACCCATAACACTGTTAAGAAAAAAATAAGACATGTATTTAAAAATCCCTAGATAAAACAAACATGAACTGTGTAATGCATTATTATTATTTTTTTTTTGCCAAAAAAAAAAAATCAGACTGAACCATTCCCTTTTGAAAGAGTGGGGCATATAAAAAATTATATGTTGAAGATTAAAAAAAACTTAACAGACCAAATAATTAAGGGGGTACAACCATAAAGCTTTCTATATATCGGAAAATTAGGGGAGAGCTACGGCCCCTGTACCTTTCTTACAAGGAAGAAACTATAAATTGATATCACAAGGTCCATGAGGTGGTTAATAAATACTATAAAGGAGCTATGATTCACACAGAATAATAAGTAAACACGCATCGAAATTTACAAATGTTTCTACGACTACAATTCTTTTTTCTACGCTAGAAATCGAAAACGTACGATTTACTTTAGAAAGAAGCTGTACATCAAAACTGGAAAATCCCGCATCCCAGAAATAACCTTAAACAGTTAAAAGCATTTTCCTTGATTTATATTACTTCGGGAACAGGCAAGTCATTTTAAATAGTTTAAGCATTTGCCAAAATAAACACAATATAGATAAATACATACATTGTACTTACACAATCATCCAAACCTTCAATGTGTCTTAAAAAACTGCAGAGCCTCAGTCGATCTCTGGAACTTTCCGTAGGACGAAGCATTGCTTCAAGAAGACCGCATCGGGTGTTTTTCCACTGCATAATGAAAATTCCATATTTTTGTAATCGTCCACATCTCTGTTGTGTGAATGAGCATCTTCAAATTGGCCTAACTGTTGGGAGATGAACTACGTATCTAGGCTATTTGACGTCACAATATTACAGAAAATAAAATCCGCGAAACGTTATTAGGCTTAGGAGTTTAGAAGACCGTTTGAAAAATACAACGAACGAAAGGACGGATTTTCAGTTACCTATAGTTGTGTGTTTTTTGCTGAAAGATTATACACATGCACACGTAAAGTTTTCTCAATCGAGGCATCGAAATAGTAGACAAGTCTATAGGGCCTAGCAGATTACGTACGATGATCATGATGATTTGGTGTAACGTTTTTCATGGTAAGTAATTTGTACGTCTGTTCATTAACCAGTTATAGATATGAGTGTTTTTGGTCTACTTATAAACATAAAACATACATTTAGACGGCCGATTTTTTTTTCTTATCTAATACTCGGTCCTTGTGGCTACTTTCACTTTTGAATACAGAGGCGTTCAAAAGATGGTGCATCGCAAATTAAATTAATGACGAATTAAAAAAAATCTACAAACAGTGTAATTTAAATCTATTTTTCCTTCACAATCAAATATTGAGGATATTAATTATTTATTTCAGTTCTAAGACCCTCTCCCTACCAGGATGGACATCTAAGTAAATTTGAAGCGAAATCCCGTCCCTACTGTATGAATGTGACAGAGCACGCAAACGCTAGAAAATTTTAGGATTTACAACAAACCAGTAATATACAGATGAAAGTGAATAGTGAAACAATCGAAAAAAGAAAACTCCGGTAAGATTATGTCTTTTGGGGTTTGTTTTTGTTTGAATGTCGGGGATAGAATATTCAATTAATTCTGAAAGGGGGGGGGGGTCTTGAGGATGTTCAAAATTAGTTGTGCTCAAGAAATTGAACATAGATAATATGTCCACTGGCAAGAATTAGAAGGTAATATGCCTCTGGTTATCTTGAAAATAATATATCTAGTCTTGTGAAGTCTTGGGAATGCATAATTAATCGAACTTACTAAATATATTGCCATTCCGTTCTTATAAAGTCTCATAATTTAAAGAAATAAGTTTAAACTATTTGTGAACTACTTAAATCATAAGCAGAATTTTAAAAATTTTTGAAAGAAATTGTAAAAATAATTTTTTGATTTTTTAAAAAAAGAACTTCACTTTATTAAACCCTACATTATTTTCTCATGTTTCTTTTTCAGGTATACACGGGTTAAAAACTACAATAAAGACCAAAGGAAAAGAAAATGATAGAGGATCGAGAAAACTCGTTAATATGACTTTAAATGAATAACTCATATGCATGACTAAATGTGCCACTATAATTCGTACTATTGATATACTTTAGAAAAATTTTCAGATCATTATACATGTATCAAATGATATTTGTTTTGTGTACATCAGTTCTGGAATTTTCATTCATTTTGGAAATTCACCAAATTCCCCGCAGTGAAATGATGCAAAATTTTAATCAATTACGCCTTAGAACACTGAGTACTTTGTTGTCATTTAACAGCCAAAATCATTTTTATCCTGACATCTTTTCAATGTATAAAATGAATTCACTTTTGTTAAAAAAAAAAGACCAACTTACACTCACTTTTTCTTATGTCCACTACGCTCTATGGTTTTAGAGTTACATATATCTGGCCTCATATTATATTATCAATTTCAAAAAATTAATCTGATATTGTTTATCATTATACAGATTCATGACATGATAATTATTAACGATCACACAGCAATATTTTAAAGAACAGTATGCCAAAGTCAGCCAAGCCTGGGGCTTCAAGGTCTTCAGTAAATGAATGTGTATTCACTAACTATGGAGTCGGTCAATGGCTGCATTGACAGACTGATGTGTAGTCGGCCAATGCCTGCATTGACTGACTACGCAGTGGGCCAATGCCTGCATTGAATGACTGATGTGCAGTGGGCCAATGCCTACATTGACTGACTGATGTGTAGTCGGCCAATGCCTGCATTGACTGACTGATGTGTAGTCGGCCAATGCCTGCATTGACTGACTGCGCAGTGGGCCAATGTCTGCATTGAATGACTGATGTGTAGTCGGCCAATGCCTGCATTGAATGACTGATGTGCAGTGGGCCAATGCCTGCATTGACTGACTAATATTCAGTCTGCATTGCCTGCATTGACTGACTGCGCAGTCGGCCAATGCCTGCATTGACTGACTGATGTGTAGTCGGCCAATGCCTGCATAAACTGACTAATGTGCAGTTGGCTAATGCCTGCATTGACTGACTGATATTCAGTCGGCCAATGCCTGCATTGACTGACTGCGCAGTCGGCCAATGCCTGCATTGACTGACTGATGTGTAGTCGGCCAATGCCTGCATTGACTAACTGATGTGTAGTCGGCCAATGCCTTCATTGACTGACTGACTTTGAAGTCAGCCAATGCCTGCATTGACTGACTTTGGAGTCAGCCCTTGCCTGACATTGATAGACATTATAATCACAATACCTGACTGAGCCTGCATTCATACTGCATAGCAATGGAAATCCTGCATTGAGGAATTGGGAAATGTAAATTATCTGCATTCGCATATAGTTGTATAAACTAACTAGCATTGCAACAATGCAGGTAAGGAGATTTAAAATGGAAAAATAATTCTAGTGAAAATAACTCCATCTGGAATTTCAATATTTTCCTTTTACCAATTTAACTTTATTTTGTTCAACTTTGAAAAGTAAAATTTTGTCAATTTAAATGTGTGCTTCGGAATAGGTTTTTGTAAGATGATGCACGAGCCAATTATAAACAAAGCTTAAAAAGTTGATATTTGCATAAAAAAATAGTTGAGACAAATCAAAATTTAGTTGAGACTCCATAATATGGAGACTTATTGGAGATGATAGATCATGACTTTCTGGTTTGCAGAATCACCTTTTCGTGCGTTGTCAATACTTCCGGTCGTTACGAGATGGAAATTTAAAAAATTCGTAATTTCTAACTTTTTTGTTTTTCAGTATTTTTCAATTATTTTTGGTATGTTAATAGAAACCCTCTTTATAATGCTTACTATTTTATTTGTTTGAATATTGATAAATCGAAACTGTAGATATTAGCATTCGAAAATCTGAAGCGGGTCCAAAATGGCGGCTGTCTCTGTCAACGCCGACATTTCGCAATAGTGGTTTACGGAGGCAGCCAAGCGTTTGCTTTAACGAAAGTAACATAAGAATAAATGAAATGTAAAGGAATACTTGGATTGTCACGTTGTAGTTTCGTTGCAGTTCTGTGTCAAACTAACGTCTTCTATATTTGGTTTTGGCTGGTTTTCAAAGTAGAAAAAGAAAAGACTAAATGTGCAAATAAAGTTTGATACCTAATATCTTTTGTGCATCACGTAAAAATAGATCTTAAATCATATTTATAAGTAAAACTTTTTCATAAAAGAATATCAATGAATATTGTCAGTATAAATCGTAACCACTGTTTTTCCTATGCACATTTGTGTCATCTAAAACTAATGAATAAGACAAAAATAAGAAAACGATTTTTTTTAAAGATCGCTTCATGGAGTTTATTTTAGCTTTCTTGTCTCGAAGACCGGATTCAAGTTATTGAGCATTTCTGATTCCTTGACCATCAAAGGGCGAGCCATGTTTTTCGGCGAAACGTTTCAACCTTTTTCAATTAACTAATCGGGATAATTCAGTTTGGGGATAAACAGGAAATTGAAAAAAAAATCATAACCGTTTCACCGCTTTAGTGTTACATGCATACATACAATATGGAATTTTTAAAATGTGTTAAATATACTTTCTAAATCTGGAATCTTAGGCTATAAGAACGTTCTTTTTTTTAATTTCATTGAAGCTATCACACCTATTTAATAGAACATTCCAAAGAAAAAGCGCGAAGATAAACTCGTGGCGTTTGGCGCTAAATTTTGAATAGTGACCTGCCTTTCATAATTTTAAGAGAGAAGCATATTCGTTAATATATACAAGTAGATTTAGAGTAGAGGTCCCGATAGCGTAATATTTAGTGCGTTGGAATTTCATGCTAGCGACTTGGGTTTAATCCTCCTTGTGTGCAAATCTTTTTTTTACTTTTTCAGCTCGATTTTGCGTCTTCTTTCCGGAATCGGACGGAAGACCTCTCGTTGCTCGCAACGAGTTTCATATCTAGTTTATTTACTGTTTTACGGGAATTTTTTTCAAAAAATGTTGGGGGGTCGAAATAAAAATAAAAATAAAATTTTTAAATTCAAGCAGTCGGTCAGAAAAATAAAAATAAAACGAAAAAATGTAACCATTTTTTTTATTTTTTAAATTAAGAATGGAATTGTTTTATTACCCTAATTTAGCAGAAAAGGAGAAAGGGGTGTTATTTGAAAAAATTAATGCATGCAAAACAATTTTATCATATATATATATATATTTTGGTATTGAATAAATAAGAAGATTTGAGTATTTATGAGTAGCTATCATATGGCAAGAAATAGTAAGGCTTTTAACGGATCAGTTAAATTATTTCACAAGTGAGACTAATTAAAAGAAAATCTGTGCATCTTTTTCAATGCAATTCAAATTAGGATAAAACATATCTCATTTTTCTCTTGAAAACTTATTCAAATTGCCTCAATGCTACAACTTACATGATTGTAGAAAATACAGTATTTACCATAAGTATGTACATGTGAAAAAGGCAATGACAATTACTCTGTTTACTGCAGAATTCGAATTTTGTTGAAACTTCTAATCCACAACTTCTGAATAAAAAACAGGTCATATATATATTTGTATGGACGTATCATCTGCAGCTTTGTTTTTCCCTATTGGTAAAATTTTTTTTGCAAAGAAAGCTGTTATTACTCCGCTGATGTACATTAATTTGTTACATAACATGCAAAATTCATTTTTGAATCGTAATATGTGTGATTAATATGATATTAACGAGTGAAAGTTGTGACTCGAATTTCCTCAGTCACGCCACTTTCTACAGCGTATGTTCAGTCGTTACATGTAAAATAAAACATGACTGTCATAAAAATAAGTTTCAGAACAATCTTCAAGCCGTATTTCAATGCTTTGAAACAATTGTCAAAGATAATACATACTTATATTTACATTTGCAAATGTTTTCCTCTATATAACACTACTGAAAGCAAGCGTTTTTAATATATTCGATCAGTGCTTACTATTAGTGCAAGATATATTACTGTAGTCAGCGGCGACTCACACAAATTGTTCCGACGAAAATAGTTCCATCATTAATAAGAAGATACAACATAACTGTTCATGAAAAGAATAATGTTGTGTATGTCATACGTAAAAGAAACCAAAATTAATGTAATATTTTCCTCCAAAGATCACTTTTCCCCCTAAATGCAAATAAAAAATGTTTATATTCCTACGCTCATTCCCTCTTCCCTCCTCAGCTTTTTTTATTTTTAACATGTTTGATAACGGAGAATATCTAGGTCATTCTTCGGTTGATATTTTTTCACCGATGAATTGATTATACTATATCAACAACTGTAGTAAAATCATGTTAATTGTTCGTTAATCATCATAATTTATAGTTTCCTCTTAGAGAAAAAAAAATAATCATTCTGTGTGTGTAGTATATTAAATGACGGAATTTTCAATCCCTGAGCAGATTCCTGCACGTGTGTAGACAAGCTACACATAGGGAGTGTGTACCTATAAAATGTGTAACAAAACCCGAACTGGGCCGGGGATTTCTAGACTGCCAATCGTTTAATTTTTATTAATCAGAATTTGTATTCATGTGGTCTAATTATGAAAAAAAGTTCTGTCTGCCATCGTAACTTCTCTGTTCGCGGGAGTCCTTTGACAACTCCATCGCACGTGTGTAGACCAAGGCTAACTGGTCTTGCGGACAGCCGGACACAGGTATGTGTACTGTTAGGAGACTGGGTGATAGTACTTAATGCTACGGACTCACGAAATTTACACAAGTTCTAAAACTAGACATGCAGTGAAGTTTTATTTTTATAAGAGTCATTAAACACTCTTAAACATATTAAATTTAAAAGTCGAATATCTTTGGATATGGGGTAACCCATATCTATTCTTGTTATAACTGTATAAATACAGGTATGGGGTCAAGAGGTCATAGATGTTCGTATGGATAAACGTTCGACGTAATTTAGAGATGTTTCTGAATATGACACGAATCCAAATCTGAAATGAATATGAAACGAATCTGAACCGGAGGAATCTCGATCCCGATTGGAAATTAACACATTATTATAAACGGGAATAAGATTTCTGATTTTTCCCTGTGGTATTTCAAACTATATCCTGCATGAAAAGATAAAAGTGTTTGTGCCACCCACCACCATACCCTTCAAGTAACAAGTCCATGACATACAGTAAATCGTAAATGCATGATATTATGTTTGTATATCCTTAATGTAACAATGATGGAAAAAAGCAAGAATTTATGAAGTATGCCAGTTTGATTTATTTTTGTCGGGGGCTTGGGAGTGTGTATTTAAAATGTCAATAGTGAACCAGGAATTCTGTTTAGGGCAGGAAGGTGGGACATACCAATAAATTCCCAAAGGTGAGATGAATACAGTATTCAGCTAGGCCCGTAGGAAGCGTTTTAAATAAGTCTGACAAGCAAAAAGAGTCCTTAAC